AGGGCAAAGTGTGGCTCTAGGTCATGCTGTGATACATACACTTGTACGGTAAGCTTGCAAAATGTTACCTTATTTTATTTCTTTCTTTAGGTGTTTCTGTCCATTATCTTTTAGCTTTTTCTAATCTTTTAAAAACATCTTTTAAGTGTTTTACTTTATGTGCTCTTTGGTAAACTTTTCTTTCTGGTTTGCAATAACATATCAATATTTCTATTGTGTCCTTAAATATTCCTTAAAGCATATTTTTATGGTGTATGCCGTATTCCATATGGGGTTGGCTATGAGAGATATTGTGTACTATTTATTTCATTTGTTTTCAAATTATTAGCTCATTATGAAGGTAAATAACAGAAACAATTCATATAGAGTTGATTTCAGTATTCAGAGGATGCCCTTTTGAATTCTTTCTCAGCTTTGCTTTTTGTCATATAGTCTGAAGACTTCTCCAGTAATTGCATGCAATACTAATTCCGGATTATTTGGGTGCTCCAGATTATTTGCCTCTTGTTCATGCCTGAATGTAGCTCTTCATGATTAAGCAATTTATGACAAAGATTATAAATAAACTATGGAACACACACTTGATGTGCAGTGTTTGGATAAGCAGACAGTAATACAAACTCTCATTTTGAAAAGCGCAGGAAATGAATGAATACTGCATATCAAATACTGAAATGTACCTTTAGCAAGGTGTTGTTTTTCACTCTATGGGCTAAATGGTCATTAAATTAAAGCCAATAATCACTTATTTTCTAGGTGCATGAATGTAGATTCCAGTGCAGGGCTTCTACTTCTCTGCAATAAGCCTTGTTTCCTTTCCCTTCACCAGAACTCTTGTCTTGTCCTCTGTCTCCAAATCACTGGGATTAAGCACTGAGACTTTTCTAAACAGTTCATTGCCCTCTGCCTACATCCCAAAGGTTATTATTTAAAATAGAAATAATTGCTACATTTGGTAGAATGAAAATTCACAGTGCAAGTTGCTAGGGAAGGCCTCAGGAACAATAACTAGTTTTATTATGTGTAATGGCATGGAATTTGACTTCTGCTGTCAAAGTGTAAGACAGCAATTTTTTATTACTGTCTTTTACTGTTGGCCATAAGTACAAAAAATTTTCTATTTTTGTTTTCTCTGTCTACTTTCGAACAGGCCAGTTTCAATAAAGCTTGTATTAAATTTAAGGATTTGATGTAAATTTTTAAAAATACGTTTCTTGCTTACATAGACATAATCCTAAACTCAAAGATATAGCTCAAAAGAAATAGCTGCCTTCTTGAAACATTTGCTTTGCTAACACATAATAGTGATTAACATGCTTTTAACTATTATTAAGATATTTCTCTTCATAATGCCTAAAAAATATGATTGATACTAGATAAAATCAGTAATGTGTTCGTCAGTTTATCTTGATGATGAATGGCCCAGCAAGGAAAACACTGCAGAAGATTAGGTGGAAGATGGGACTAGCTTCCTGCTCAAGTGAATCTTTGTTTCAAACAGTGACAGTATTTTTGATCTATGTATCTCTTGGATATACTTGCATTCTGGCTGACAGTTCTAACAAGCTTTCACATATGACAGCAATAGGTCATTTTATCTCTTTGCTTTTCTAGTCTGCAGTGTGCAATATTTCAGAAGAGTAGAGAGAACTTCTCCTTTCCAACATTCATTTCAATACTTGGTAGTATAGGTAGAAGGAAAACATGACCGATCTTGTGAAACTGAATTTCACACCACTGTACTACTGCTGTATCTGAGGATGATTGTTCCGATTACCACACACCCTGTGTCAGAAGCAGATTCATGTTATTTAGAACCCCCTCATAGTGGAGGTGGAACAGATCCTGCAAAGTAAATTACTTGAATTGCAAAATGAAAAGATGTCTATCAAACATTTTATTTTCATTAAGCATAAATATTTCTAGTTATTTTGAAGAAAATACTCAAGATTCTTACAACATTTTAACTATGAGAGCTTTCACTAGAGCTTTTTGAAAAATTGGAGTGAAATTCACAAATCATACAATTGACCATTTTAAAGTGAACAACTCAGTGGCATTTAGTACATACACAATGTTGTACAACCACCACATCTATCTACTTCCAAAACATGTTTGTCAACACAAAAGGAAACCCCTGACCCATTAAGCAGTTGCTTACATTCTCCCTTCCCCTCAGGACCTGGAAACCATCCCTCTATGTTGTCTCAGTGGATTCCCCTATTCTGGATATTTCATATAAGTAGAATTGTACAATATTTGACCTTTTGCATCTGACTTTCTTGACTTAGCATAGTGTTTTTGAGGTTCATCTACTTTGTAATATGTATCCGCACTCCATTTCTTTTTATGTTTGAAAGTATGTTATTGTATGTATATTTACAATGTATTTATCCCTTCATCAATAGATGGATAATTGGGTTCTTTCCAATTTATTTCACTAGAATGTTTTAGTAAATCCATAGTTGAATTCCAAATTATTAAATGATAGAAATGATAGGTGCTAATACAACGCGTCTTTTGAAATTTTTGACATTTTTTGACTAAACCCTTTATTTATATGTGTGTGTATACATATATATATCTATATTTTGTTTCTCTTTGTCTCACAGATACATAAAAGAGGACATGTTTGCAGGAAAAGCATAGATCCATGTGATTTTACAGAATATTGCAATGGAAAATCTGAATTTTGTGTACTTGATGTGAAATCTGCTGATTATGAACAATGCAATAATAATACTGCCTATTGTTTGAGTGGAATATGCCAAGATAGGGATCAACAGTGTGCGAGATTATTCGGACCATGTAATAATTCTATTTTTCTAGGTTCGTTTTTAAACTGTAGCTATTCCAAAGTCAGTAATCCATAGTATAACAGTGTAAAATATTGTTTTTAAAATCCAAACTTAAAAATAAAATTGCAATTTAAAGCAACTTTGAACTATATCAAGAGTTAAAATGGACTTAATAACCACAGGACAAAAAAAAATAGGACATTAGTCAAATATCAGATGACAGGTAGAAAGGCAGCACACTACTGGAATAGTAGATAAGAGAGAAAATGACTGATGTCTCAAGTATTTCTGTGCTGTAATACCACTTTTGCTCTTTCTACTCAAGTGGGCAGTTTTAGCAGGTGTTTCTCCTTTGTATATAGACAGTAATTACATCAAAAAGTTGTGGTGGATGACACTGAATGGGCATTATTGCTATCTAGATATCTCTATATTAATTTACTACATTTTTATTTTAAATTTTTTAAATGAGTAATTGGAAATTATTTTTGTTTTCAGTTGCTCAGGGTGCTCCTTATCTGTGTTCACAAGAAGTGAATTGGCATGCTGACGATTTTGGAAACTGTAAAACTAGATCCTGTAATTTTGAGTACGTATTTTTAAACGTATATATTTTTCTAATGTTGGCATGTGTGTGTATTTCAGAGGGTCACTTAATACAAATGAGAGATGAACCCAGTATATGCAGGTGAGTTTAAATTTTGCACTTTATAAAATGGTATAGGTTCTGAATATATTTGGTGATGTAATCTAAGTTACATTTTGAATTATCCTTGTATTTTGAGCTGTTATTTACTTAGTATATTTTGTCCCTAAGTGAAAAATGGCTATTTTTTTCTACCTTATATTGCCAGACATGTCCTTTGTGCAAAGCTAGTTTGTCTCTGGAGAAGTGCAGACCTCATATTAAAGAAAGATTATGATGTTCAATATACTTACTTTGAAAACTATGTATGTGTGTCTGCATTTTTACGAAATCCAAGTGGTAGCATAAAGGATAACTCCTATGTAAACAATGGTACCTTATGTGGTCCAGAAAAGGTAAATAAAAATTTTACTTGATACTATATGGAGTGCACGTGCATATGTGTGTGTGAGTGAGATAGACATCTTAAATGATTTTATTTATAATTACTGTTACAAATTTTTATTACTGCATGATCTTGAGATTCAAACGTCAGAATTTTTGTTGGGCAAAGGAACTCTTACTTTACTACCTACCATTTTATATTTTGAATTTTGCCATAGGTATTTAAATTTGTTTGCTCATATTTGAGAACTAAGTCTCTTTGTGAGGCAAGAATCTTATCTAAAATAATATGCCTAACCCTAGAACAAAAAATAAAATCAAACAATATTCCAAAAACTAAGGTCAGAAAATCTGAATAAATAGAACATTAAAGAAACAGAGGAAAAAAACCCAAGCATTTAGTAATCTACAAGAACTTGTTTAGTTATAAAGAAAGTAAAACATTTATTTAATGCTCATCGACCTACTCTGCTAATTCTTCCTCCAAAATCATAACATACCTATTAAAAATTTGGCCCGTGCATGACATAACAGTAAAACATAGAGTTTAAGCTTTCCTTATTTTTCAAGTTTTCTTAAAAATTTTGAGAGACGTAACAGATAAAGGATGTTTGAAACCCAGTACCATTGGAAAACTAGTTGACTGATGAAAAACTACAAAATTATCACACATTTTACATAATTTTCATATAGATACAATATTTTAAGAAAAGAAAAACAAGAGGAAAATGGACATGAATAGTAAACTTAGGATGGGAAAAGTTCTTCCCACATAAAAGTAATGAAATAATGACAAAGAAACACTCTTGTGCTGGCTATACTATAAAGTAATATGTCATCCTTTCAAAGGATGACAAAAATGCTAAAACAAACTGACAAAAATGTTTACTATAAATGTGACAGGGTGACTATTTAATTTATAGCTAATTTAATCATCAATTAATTAAAGAAAAAGCACCAAAATGATGTGTTTATTTGGTATACTTCAGAAGGCATTTGCTTTGTCCCTGGTTCTTAGTGCAGAGCACCTAAAACTATTAGAATTTCCTAGTGACAAGATTGTCCTTTGTTATTCATAATGAGCCCCTTTGAATCAACATCTACGTTTAGGCTAATGCAGTGAGAGTAGGACCCCTAGATAGCCTCAGGATAGGGCTAGTCACTAGAAAGACCAAGTGATCAGGAGATTGACACTCTTGGTCCTACCCAATAACCTTTGGAAAGGGGTGAAGTGAAGCTGGTGATTGAGCTCCATAAAGCCTCTGTCTGTGGCTCATGCCTGTCATCCTGGCTACTTGGGAGGCTGAAGCAGGAGGACTACTTGAGCCCTGGAGTTTGGGGGAAGCTGCAGTGTGCCTTGATTGTGCCTGTGAATACTCACTGCACTCCAGACTGGGCAGTATAGGGATGCCTTATGTCTAAAAACAAGCAAACAAATAAACTTCCGAACAAAGAGATTCAGAGACAGCTTCTGGGTTGGTGAACACAATGACTTGCTGGTAGGGAGGCATGCCAGGAGAGGGCATGGAAGCTGTGCCTGTACCACCTCATTCCCATCAAATATCTTGCCCAATGCATTACTTCCAATGAGCTCCTCCTGAGTTGTACCTTTATACTCCTATACCCTTTTGTACAGTTTCATTTTTAATTGACAGATGACAATTGTGTATTTGCAAGGGATACACTACGATGTTTTGAAACATGTATGTGCTGTGAAACATGCAAATCAACAAAATAATGGTCATATTCATCACTTCAAATATTTATTAATTTCCTTGTGGTGAGAACATTTAAAATCCCCTTTTAGGTATTTTGAAACATGCAATATGTTATTAAGTATATCATCTTGTTGTGCAATAGAAGATCCAAACTCTTAACTAACTTTGTACTTACTGACACGTTTGTCTTTTCTTTGTCCACTCCTCCCCTGATTCTTTGTAACCACTATTCCAGTCTCTTTTTCCATGAGTTCAACATGTTTAATTTGCACATGTGAGTGAGATTATATTTGCCTCTCTGTGGCTGATTTTACTTAATGTCATGTAAGCTCACCAGTAAATGAATTTCTGTTATTTTTAAGTCTGAATAGTATTTCTATCTATCTATCATCTATCTGTCTATCTATCTATCTATCTATCTATCATCTATCTATCAATCAATCAATCACATTAAAATATACTATGTGTCTAGGTCTGTCCATGGACACTTAGGTTGTTTCCATATCTTGTCTATTGTGAATAATACTACAATAAACATGGGAGTGAGATATCTCTTTGGCATACTAATTTTATTTCCATAAGATAAGTACACAGTATTGGGATTCCTGGGTCATATGACAGTTCTCTTTTTAGTTTTTTGAGAAATCACTGTACTGATTTTCCAAAATCACTATGTTAATTTACAATACCACCAAAAATGTATAACTATTCCCTTTTCTCCACATCCTAACCAATACTTGTTATTTTTAATACTTTTCATAATAGCTAATCTAAAAGGTGTAATGTGATATCTCATTGTGGTTGTAACTTGCATTTCTCTGACAATTAGAGATAGTGAAAATCTAATTGGGTGCTTTCTCTATGTGACTAGGGTTTATCAAATGACAGCCTTCATCTTGGAAGCAAACGTTAGGCCATGATCACCAAACATGATACTATACTGACCACTGGTTTCATTGGGGTAATGCTTATTTTAGAAGACAGACCACTCTAGAATCCTGAATTCCATAGTCCATCAGTCTAGTTGCTTTAGGAAATGAAATACCCTTCTAAGTCTTCTTTGGGATAAAAGTGCTGTGTGAACTGCATTCAGTCATTGAGAGGGAGAGAGAGGTGAGTAGTGGATGTTGAGAGCTAAGCAGGTTTTGTGGACACACTTCCATAGATAAGTCCACATCTTAGCCATCCCTCCCCCTTCTGTCCCTTCAGCTCTTCTTCCTCAGTTTTTCCTTATAATCATGAGGCTGCAGTTCTTCAAAGCCTTACCGGGCTAATCAACTAGGCTCCTCTTTGCCATTGTCTTTGATACGGTTGCTTTTCCACTTCATTTTATCCATTGTTGACCTTTTTTATTTCAGTATCCCAGGAAGTTCTTAAATCTCTCATCTTCAAGTTACCTCTTTTTGATTCTCCTTTATTCTCTTATATTGGAAAAAGAGGGCTCTGCATTCATCAACTCTGTCAATTTGAATTGGAATTATTCTTTGGCTATTTAAAAAATTCATCAAAGATGTGCTTTGGTTTCGTTTGTTGTTCAATGTTCAACTGACTTCAGAGACATAGGAAAGTAGAGACGTCTTTACCTCACCTTCATGAAATGTGGGTGCCCTTTGTAAAAATTAAATTTAACATGTATTTATATTTACCTCTGTCTATATCTATATAGAAAGATAGATGCACTTTGTATAACATATATCCACGTCTACATCTATACCTATATAACTATAGACAGATGTACTTTATTTCTTGTATCAATATATATTTATCTTTCCTATTAATTTGAATAAAGATTTTAAATAAAACACTCATAGATTTAACGTAGTAATATACTAAGTCAACAGTATGCTACATGGAAATAGACATTTCAAGCAAGATAAATTTGCTTAATATTGGTTGTGATAGAAAGTGTCTATGAATTTGTTATTTATAAAACTTAAACAGGAGAAGAGTTTATCAAACTGATCCTAGTTCATGTATATGAGCTACGGGAGAGAACATCTAAGTATAATCATTCAATAACTGAAAAGGAATATGCTTGAGGCATGTTGATAAGATAATCAATAGAGAGTTTTTCAAACTAATAAGCTAAGTGATGAATTAAAAAATAACATTAACTGCCTTTCTTTTGCCCATTCTTATACACAGGACTATAAGAAAATATGATATTTAATATTTTACAAAGTATCTATAAGTAAATATGATATTCAATATTTTGCAAAGTACCTATAAGTAAATAAAATATTCAATATTTTATAAATATATTGAATATTTTATAAAGTAATTTGATTTTAATTTACTTTATTACTTACATTTCTATAAAGTCATAAAGTAATAATATAGCATTTTGATACTGACTTCAGGTTCTATTATTAAAATGGACAAAATTCATCAAATCCAGATTTATGTGTTGTGCTTACAGCTTATGAATGTAATTCTTGTACAAAACACAGTTGCTCAACTAATGACTTTGTATTTAAAATTTTTGTTGTTTTTGGTTACTTTAACATTTTAGTTACGTGTTAATGGAGTTTGCCAACCTGTGAGCAGAGATACAAATAGAAGACAATGTAACTCAGAGATAAAATGCAGTGGACATGGGGTATGTAACAGTTACCCTCTTTTTAAATACAGTTATTTTCAACCTTATTAATAACATTTTCCAGGAAAATAATAAGGCACAGAATTTTCTGATGTGAAAATTTCTTTTAGAAAATTGCAGTTAAATAAACATATTCTATTATTTATGTATATGATTTATATGTACAATCGAATTGTTATAGGCCTGATAAGCAAATAAGGTTTGAATCTTGTACAAAAATATAAAATGAAACATAATTCTTTATTATAATATTAAAGTCAGATTATTATAATGTTAACTTTAGAATTTTGTAAATGGATTTAATAAGGAGTACACACACACACACACACACACACACACACATATACACATACACATTACTTACAATTGAGTGTATGAATACACAAATATATTTATAAGCACTGATACACTTAATATATTTATCTTTCACACATTTCTTATAATCTAACTTTTTTTATTTTTTGGGAGCAGAGTTTCCTGTTCATTCAGATATGTTAAATCCTTCAAAGACTTTATTTCCCTGTATAAATCTTAAAAAGTCAATGAATTTGAAAAGTCATTTACTGTTGGTCTTTTGGATAATGTCAAATTTTAATGTAACTATTGCAAACAGAGGTATAGGAGACATTGTTGTATAATGTTCTTTGCACGTTTATCTGATAGTTTAAGTTATTAGCAATGAAATGTGATGATCCAAATATATGCACCACTTAATATTCATAAGTATTGTATTATCTTCAAGAAATATCATGACTTTTTTTTGCCACCTATCATATACAGAAATATACACTTCAATATATTCTGGCCTGACTAATTTATCAGTCTGTTAAATATATTCTAAACATGCTAAATCAATTGTCAATTGGAATTTATTTGGTAACTAATAATATAGTTCTTCAGAATGCATTTGGCTTGCACTTTGGGGCCAGTGCCTTCTGCCATACTGGCATTTCATATTTATATAGTAATTCAGAAAAAAGTGAAAAGTGACCTAGCTGCATATCTTGCATCAGATTTTTCTCCTAAATTACTTATACATCCTATTACTTAGAGCTTCTTTTCTTATTCTTTATTATTTAATTTTAATTTACTTTGTTACTTAATTTTTTTATAAGCCTATTTCTGAATTCCCAATTCTGCCACTGATTGTTTTTTTTCTTTTTTTTTTTTTAACCTTTTAAGTTCAGGGATGCATGTGTGGGTTTGTTAACATACATAAACTTGTATTTTCAGGGTTTGTTACATGGATTATTTCATTACCCAGGTTTTAAGCCTAGTACTCATTAGTTACTTTTCCTGATCCTCTCCCTTCTCCAACCTTCTACCCTCTGATGGGCCCCACTGTGCATTTTTCCCCTCTATGTGTCCATGTGGTCTCATAATTTACCTCCCACTTGTAAGTGAGAACATGTGGTATTTTTCCCTGCAAAAGAGATAGCATAGTTCTTTTTTATGGCTTCATAGTATTCCATGGTATATAGGCATCATGTTTTCTTTATCTAATCTATCCTTGATGGGCATTTAGATTGATTCCATGTATTTTCTATTATGAATAGTGTTGCAGTGAAAATGCATGTGCGTATGTCTTTATAATAGAATGATTTATATTCCTCTGGGTATATACCCAGAAATGGGAGTGCTGGGTCAAATGGTATTTATGTCTTTATGACTTTGAGGAATTGCCACATTGTCTTCCACAATGGCTGAACTAATTTAAACTCCCACCAACAGTATATAAGTATTCCTTTTTCTCCATGACCTCACCAGCATCTGTTATTGTTTGACTTTTTTGTAATAGCCATTCTGACTGGTGTGAGGCGGTATCTCATTGTGGTTTTAACTTACATTTCTCTAATGATCAGTGATG